GTGGGGGAAGCAACAAGAGTTAGTCTCTATGATAACACTTTCACGGTTGCTAAATTGCAGTCAATTACCAATTCACTCGGTTATATTGATACCAATAAAGGGATTATCAAAGCATCAAGGGAATCAGTTGTTTCAGCTAAAGATATACAAGTTGGAAACGATAGAATTAACTCTCAATCGGAAGAGGGCGTCAAAACGCGTGACCGTCGGCCAACCAATCAGAAGCCAGTAAAACGCATAGCTGAGTGCAATGACCGTGAAGGCGCGAAAATCGTTAAGTCAATTACTGAATGTAAACTACGTGAGTCTGATATTAATTCCACTGTAAACAGTAGTCCTCCTTTTACCAAAACAAGTTCTCTTTTTATCAAAACAAATACTTCTACAATGACATCACTAAATTTGAAGAAATTAAATAAATTATTGTTAAAACACCTAGAGATCACGAGCGGCAGTAGCAGCGAGGTGGAGATAGTAGATGCACGACTGGAGGCGGAGACAAATCTCACTAGGGACATCCGATGCAACACGGTAATTTCCATTCCTTCGGCATTCGGAGGCGAACTATTTCCGGCGGCATACCCAGCGGGAGGAAATTTAATCACTGTAAGATCGTCCGGAAAAACAGTGCACTGCCAGAACTATTCAACCTTAAGATAGTCGAGGCAAATTATAAAGGGGACCCTCAGATGCGTGCGATAAAAGAACTGGTGGAAAGTAAGGACCCGGAATTGGAGAAGAAGGTCAGAGCAATGGGTGCCTACCTCGGACAGCACACACATGATTTCCATGTGCGGGAGAATTGCCTGTGGATGGACGAACGACTCGTCATTCCCATACCACTCAGGAAAGCAGTGGTGAATCGATTACATTGTTTTCACCACGGGCGCTCGAATATGTTCGATGCAGCGAGGGATGTCTGGTTCCTCTATCTCCACCGGAGTTTAGTTGCAGCTGCGGATGGGTGCAAGGAATGCACGGATGCAGATTCTACTGACCAACGAAATAGAAGATTCCCCAATCTATGGCAACTGATTGGGAGGAACGGTCTGACGTTGAGTATGACGTTGAACACATGAACCACCCTAGACGACTGGCAGAAGAGCAACTAGTTTCGGCGGCGGATGGAACATCAATGGTTGGCGTGAAACAGGCCTTGGGGGGCAAGTCCAAACAGCCGAGCAAACGGACGGAGCTCTTGTTCCAACGACTTAAGGACAGCAATAAAAGGAAAAGTGGAGTTGCTGAGAAAGTCCTCAAGCCCAACGCGCCGAAAATTGCGAGCAAACTAACACTACCACCCCCAGCTATGAGTGCGCTGAAACGTCGGGCGGAATTGAAACGAGCACTAAACGAGCAGGCGGCGGGGACAAGCCCACAGAGTACAGCCGAGAATAGAACGCGAGAAATTTCACCAGCGGAGGAGGCAGACTCGGATTCGGAGTACGAGCCAATAACGATTTCACGATACGCAGGGAAACCAACAGCTGCATCCGATCGGGGCGTGGAAGTGAATGCACCAAAGGTGTTTAAAGATGCAGAGGGCGTAGCGGAAAAACCCAACTCATCCGAAGGAAGCGGCATTCCAACATCCAAGGGAGTGGACACGGAAGTTCAAACCATGAGTACCGAACAAGGGGGAAGTGCCCCGAATTTGAGCAACGAAGGACAGGGGGAAAAACAAACCAAGAAGAAAGGGGAGCGAGGGCGACGTCTACGTCTCGTATCATATTCTAGCCAGGAATCAGAAGATCAAGATGGGACAGGATCAAGGAAAAGTACCAGAAAGCGGACGGCGGTATCCAAATTCGGCGGGGCTATGATAGACAGCATATTCAAAACGAGAACAACCAAAGGAGAGGAAGACAGAGAGCGGGACACGAATTAAGCAGGAAGATAAACTTGAAAGATGGAGTGAACGGAAATGAAAGAAAACTATTTAAACTGAAAACTTATGCCCAGGGAGAGGGTGGACCACTGCGGGTCTAAAACTCAAACATTTATCCCTCGGATAATTTTTAAAACGCTTTTTAAAAAAATGATCGTTGAGGGAATGTCATATATATATTATTCCTAGTATCTAACTATATATATTACATTGTTTGGCGCCATTGGTTTTGGCCATGTGTTTGGTGCGGCTAACAATTAATTAGTACCTGCCAATCTTAGTTAAGTCTGTGTGTGTTTTGAGTTATTGTTGCTAACCGTTAAGACTAAAATCAGTCAATCTAAATTCAGTGAATTTACGATATTGAACATACATGTTTCACAGGTCCAAGAGCAGAAAAATAGCACAAGATCAACTTCTATCCGCGAATCGGTAAATTAATTATCAGAAACGTCAATATTAGCAAAGCAACGAACATTTTATGCATAATTTGAGCAATTTAATCAAGAATTTTTCAAAAAAATTTAATCAAAAAACGTAAAGAAATTAGTCAATTCATGCCTAATTTAATCGTTTTCTTGGTATTTTTGAAGATTCTAATAATTGTTTTATCAGTTAGCCCGTATAAACCAATATAAGTCAATATTTTTCTGTTTTTCTGCTCTTGGACCCATAATGCACTTGGACCATTCTGCTTATTGCTCCGCCGCCGTATTGAACAAATACTGATAGCATTTCTGAGAAATTAATTTGTCGTATTTAACAGAAAGCTCAACGTGTATAACATAGAGTAAACAAACCAGCCGAAGTATAAACCATCCGTAAATGCGCGCAGTATTTAAGCCAGTCGAAAATTTAAATCATTTGAATGAATTTGCATAATTTTCGTAACTTATATAATTGTTACATAATTATTACATATAACTTACGTATTGTCGGCTGGTTGATACTTCGGCTGATTTTTATACCACAGTAATAAAATATATAATCGTAAATAGTGGATCGAATGCAACATACTGAACCGTACATACCATTACAATCACAAACCATTTTAATCATACCAAGACATTTTCAAAGCAACTTCTAACTTTCTTTCTTTTTTGTTGTTGATATAGATTAATTAATTGGTGTCCGGCAAATAAGACATCTGTTAAAATGGCAGACTTTTTGATGAGACTTTACAAGACGACACTACACGCAAATGTCCTCGTTTTATATGAGAACTCTAAGCCGCTAAACTCAAATAGTTCGTTTTAAAGGCCGTAACGCTCATTTGTCTTCGTAATGCCATGTCGTCTTAATGTTCTGTCGTCCTATCTACCTAGCAGCGCTTTGAACAATCGCTGATCGCATTTCTGAGAAATTAATTTATCGTATTTTGCCGTGTATAACATTTTATAACATACTGAACTGAGAACTGTACATACCATTACCAAATTACCATCACAGTACAACACCAACACATTTGTAAATCAACTTTTAGGTTGTTTAATTCTTTTTCTTGATTGATATAGATTAATTGCGTTCACTAGCAAGCTGTTTTAGACATCGCAGATTGATTGATTTTTATAGTTTTATGATTACTTTTTAATATTTGGTTATCCATCGGATTTATATAATGAACTGCGCTAGTTGCTCTTCTGAAATTGCTGCTGTGACTGAAATATTTTTCTTGGTCAAAAGCCAAAAAGAAATCCACCTAGCTCTGCGTCCCGAATTACGTGACATAGTTGAAAGCCGATCTCTTAAACGTACCCAAATTGGTAAAGACACGAAGCTTGTGTGCAAAAATTGTGATCATGAGGTGGGCAAATTATTCCCCATTGGGCCCGGAGGCGTACCGGGTGTTGCGTTCGGAAACGAGAAAGTAAAGCTTTTGGGACGACAACTGAGCAAAAAGGAAAAATGGCGTCAAGTACTCGACACAGCACCATTTGATGTGATTGAGAAACGAGACTTGAACGAGTTTTTCGGAAAAAGTAAAGAGGATAAGCTATGTCAAGACGATTCAAAAGTAGCACTCGAGGAGACTGAGCCGAACAATGAAAGTGTGCCTCGTGAGCTGACTTTTGCTTCTGAATTTGAACACTATCGTTGGGACGATATTCTGAGGGACAAGAAAGCACGAGCATACCAGATTAAATCTTTTGTCCAGTCCCTGCATTCGAACTTGATAGTGGCCTTACCTACAGGTTCGGGTAAGACTCTTATAGCAGCTATGCTCATGTGCAGGATGCGTGAGTTGAACCCAGGACATCTATCTGCTATGGTTGTGAACAAAATACCCCTGGTGTTTCAACAAGCCGAAGCTATTCGATCAGACACCGGACTTATCTGCATGCCATTGTGCAGTGAAAACAAAACCCAATCGGCGATTCGGTCTTTAAATGACGGGACGTACAACTGCTTAGTGGCGACTGCTGGTCTGCTAGCGGAGCTATTTCGTCAAAACGAAATCGAGAAGTCGCTTTTTTCCTGTATCGTTTTCGACGAATGTCACCACGCAAGGGGTGCAAACGTTTACTGCGAACTACTGGATATGTTCAATTCTTTGCCAGTCAAACCCAGACTGCTGGGTCTTTCTGCGTCGCCTTTCAGGTCGGAAAGTATCGAAAAAGGGCGAGACGCGATGAAGGAGATTAGGGCGAAGTTCCAAAATGCGTTGGTGTACAGGCCTATTGAATTACCTTCGAGTGAGCAAGACGAACACTGGGTAATTGTTGCTGAAGATTCGAGGTTCGAGCAATTTTCCGATCTTATGTTGGACGTGATTCAAAGTCTAAGAGCCAAGTTGCAGATGTTAGTAGGGTCTAATGATCTGACCAAACGAGATAGGACCGACTTTCTTCAACGGAAGTTTGTACCTTCTATTCGTGGTCAGTTGAAAGGACTAACTGTTTATCATGGAGGCGACAGAGAAGCAAAGAAAGTGATCAGAAGAATTGCGGCTGTCTACGAAAGTATTTTTACCGCGAGAAACATCGACGTAACTGTGTCAGCAACCCAGTTAAGCCTAGATTTACCCGACTTAAGTCCGATTCTACGCGAGTTCATGGACGAAAGACGCTCGTCTGATAGAGTAAACAAATTATTCTCTGAACTCAGAAATGCTTCGGAGAGTTCGCGAATGATCGTGTTCGTTGACACTCGCGCCGAAGCAAGAATTGTATGTAATAAACTGGAAGAAAGATTCTCAGATATGAACCCATTGAAGTTGGTAGGCCATGGCGGCTACGATGGAATGGGCTGGGAGGATGAACAGGAAGATGTCATTTCCAAGTTCAACTCGGGTCAAAGTCGTCTCATTGTCTGTACTTCTGTACTTGAGGAGGGTTTGGACGTGGAAGCATGTGACTTAGTCATTCGCTTTTGTGGAGTTAGATCTCTAATTCAGTTCGTTCAGAGCCGAGGACGGGCTCGCAAAAAAGGGTCAAGTCGGTTTGTTGTGCTTCTCAGCGAAGACGAAAAGAAATTCATGTTCGGAGTGAGAGACGAGGAAAAAATCATGGAAAGTATCTTGAAATCGGAATCTGTGTACAACAAAGTTCCCACTTTGGAAGTAGAAAGAATCAAATCTCATCTGGAGTCCAGAAAAGATGTCCAAGAGAACGAATTGGCAATGATAGAAAAGCTGAAAATCCCACAGACTGAAGTTTCGGGCATGGCGACTCTTGAACTCTATTTGAGCGGTGTGTTGGACAACTCGACTGGAAGTCAACACGATGACGTTCAGAACTTCATAAACAATGAAATTCGAAACTGTAATGTTTTCAAGCCAAAGAGAATAGTTATGGAGCATAAAGAGCCGTCCGAAAGTTTACCCCTCTTTTTCGACATTCATACGACTGCTTATGTTTATTTGAGCAAACGCCAAAAATACGGCAAAGTAGCTGAAAACTACAAGGACTTCTGCAGAGTTTGGAAGTTCTTCATTCGCCTTTCGGCTGAAAACCGAACTCTGAACGTCTTCTCGCGTCTTCTTTTAGAAAACAAGCAGCTCGAAAACTTCCCGAATAAGGCTGAATATCATGTTAAAGTTTCCCAAATCAATTTTGGGCATTTCCTCAATGGATATCAGTTCTTAATCGTATGTGGTGCAAGTTTCAGCGGAGATCTGTCATTAGACTCGAGTTATATTCCTGATCTAATTTTGAATCTAGCAGATCAAATGGAAACGTGCCGAATTAAACCTGAGGTGTATGGACGCTTTTTGATTAGAAACTATTCTACAGACAACACAGTTCAGTTTTTTATGTTCACAAACTCTGTCCCACAAACATTTTCGGTAGTTACTGAAGTCTATTGTCGAACAGCTACCACATATTTTCTGCAGAATGTGGCGGAAAATCCGGTGTTGCGTTTCACAATGGACAAAAATGAAGCCGATAAGTTCGCAAAATTGTGTTCGAAATACAAAAATTTTATTATTCCGATTTTCGACTCTCATATCGAAACAGTGGTAAAAGATACACTAATGCCCGATAACACTGCTCACAATATGCCAATGGAAAACGAAGAGTTTGACATGTGGTGGAATTTTTTGGTTCTTCGATCTGCAAGAAAACACTGGCTAAGTCCTTCTGCTATCGAGGATTTGAACGCAGAAGTCAATATAGTGATAGATCTGAGCTTTGAAGCGAAGAGTCTCATTTTAAAACTCATATGTGGCAAAGTTCTCCAATCCCAAACTCCTGTGGACATCTTGACCAAATGGGAGTATTACATGTCAATACCTGCAGATGTGTTGCAGTTAAGTGAGTCTCGAAATCCGGTTCCAGGAGATTGCACGTTGGTAAAGAGGGTCGTTCTGACCCCGAATCGAGTAATTTACAGACTACCTTTTGTATCTGCTAATAACCGATTGCTGAGACTTTGGAAACGAAAGTGGCCGGAAATTGATATAATATCGGTAGTTTTTGCAGACGAACAGATGCAAAGCTTAACCGATGCATGTACGTTCAAGTTTGTCCAACAAACGATGAAATCTGGACTTGTAATAAAAGGTCGTCAATATGATTATCTTTGTGCAAGCGGAAGTCAACTCAGATCCCAGAGAGCATATTTTGTGTATCCTTCAAAAGCTGTGTCAATGGTAAGAAATTATATAATTTCGAATGGAGAAGACCTCAACATTGCAAAGTATACCGCAAGATTGGGATTGTTTTGCAGCGCCGACAAAGAGATTCGAACAGTGCGCGACTCCGAGTTCCAAGTCATTCCGGATATCAAAACTTTGTCAGGGACGGTTGTGACGGATGGTTCCGGGTTCATCAGCAAAGAACTAGCCCAGGAAATTTCAAAGAGTCATCTGGACTTCGACACAGACCACGTTCCGGCTGCATTTCAGGTTCGATTTGCGGGCATGAAAGGAGTACTCGCGGTTGATTTTGCAGAAAAATGCAATGAGTTCAAAATTGGAAGTTATTTGAAAGTATTGTTTCGTGACTCTATGAACAAATTCGAAACACCAGATCGAATGCTAACTGTTGGAAGTTATTCGAAGTTCCTGCCTTTCAGTCTGAATAGAGAGTTCATCACATTGATGGATGCTTTGAAACCGGTCGCAGATTACAAGTTTCGTGCTTTTCTCCTGAGATGTCAAACTAAAGCTTTGGAATCTTTTACAGAACGGTTCAAAAGTACTATTGCTGCTATTGACGCCTTAAGTCAATTCATGAAGAAGTCCGACATTGAATTAGTTACGAAATCAGGGGTGAACATTTTAGAAGAGCCGCTTTGGATTAGTATGCTCAGAGCTACGTATAAAATCCACACTCGTCTCGTCAAGACGAAGACCAGAATCGAGCTGGAGAATGCAGCGCTGTTAATCGGAATACCGGACCCTCTCGGAGTTCTGAGAGACAACGAGGTGTTCGTATGCCTGAGTGCAGACCGTGGTACCCAGAAACAGGGAGTTATCTTTGGGGATGTCTTGATATTTCGGAACCCTGGCTTGCACCCCGGAGACATCCGGAAGGTTTCTGCCGTGAACAAACCGGAACTAAAGCAATGGAAGGACGTAATTGTGATGCCAGCGGCTTTGGCTACCTTTTCTCTGTCAGCTCAATGTAGCGGCGGAGATCTAGACGGTGATAAGTTTCCGGTTATTTGGGAGCCGGAATTAGTTTCACTTATCAGAAGCAGCCACGAGCCATTGGATTATGACAATCTGCAAGTCAATAATCCGCAGCCAAGCGCTAGCATTGAAGCTGAAGACGATGATTCTGACGATGATGATTATGATGATATTTATAGCTATGATTATTACAGTGACGACGATTGCTATGATGATGATAATATACCTCAAAAATCGACTAAGGAAATGGCAAAATTCTTCAAACGTGTTCTCTCCAACGACGCTTTAGGTCGTGTAGCTAACATGCACTTGGCTTTGTGTGACCTGAAACCGAAAGGAGCGTGCGATAAATTAGCTATCGAGTTGGCCAAATCTCAATCGCTAGCTGTGGATTTCCCAAAAACTGGAATTCTGCCTTTAGTTCCAAGAGAGGCCAGAGAATCAGTTACCGAGTTCCCTGACTTCATGGGAAAGGCTTTGAACGTCAGTTATGCCTCCCAAAAAGTTCTCGGCGAATTATACCGTCGTTGCATCGGAACTGCGTACGATCCAAAAATTACTGAACTAAAATCGAAACCACCGTCTAATCTTGATAATGACTTGTTAGTGGATGGCTACCAATTATATGCGGAAGAGGCGGAATCAGTATACAGGTCCTACAAATTGTTTTTAAGAGAGATCTTGGTGGCCTACAGCTTGAGATCTGAAGCTGAGTTGATGATCGGCCGTGCGGTGACTTGGTCAGAAGCAATGAATGTCGACGGAGATCTTAGTGCTAAGACAATCCAGGCTGCTAAAAGTGGACTCTATGAAAGATTCAGAGACGTGTTTTACAGACATATGACGAATGCTAAAAGTGAAGACGTCAAACGGAAAGCATCTGCATGGTACTATGTAGCATACAGCGATTCAAAATCGAAGCCCTGTTTAAGTTTCCCCTGGCTAGTTCTAAGAGATGTCTTGAGCTCAATCAAGAAGGAAGCAAATGAAATAAATCCAGTAAGCTCAAGTGCTGGAACTAAGGTAGACACCAAGTATGGAGAAAGTGCCCAAAAGCTGTTCATGCAGTTCAAGGATAACCTTCTTGATGATCAAAAAGAAAAGTTATCGGTGGTCAAACTGATTGAAAAGTGTCTTCGAGAATCGAAAGTCGACGATAGATTCCAGGTGTCTCCGTACGGGTCAGTGCCCTTATGTGTACATGCGAATGATTCTGACGTAGATATATGTTTAACAAGAGCGTCTAGTCAAATGAAACTGAAGTCTGATGAAGACAAGTTTAGTCAGTGTTCTATGTTGGAGCGCGTTTTGCCATTTCTACAAAGCATCGAGCTAGAACGATGCGAATATGTAAATTCAGCTAAGACTCCTATTATAAAATTGTCAATCCGAACCGCCGATTCAGTCACTGATTGTGACATAAGTGCTGATGACGCTGGCTTCCGAAAAACGAGTCTGATCCAAAACATATTTTCTAAGGATGCCGGCTTCTTTTTGGCATTTTGGCTCCTTGTCAGGTGGGCGCGTGCTTCTCAAATCATTAAACAAACAGCAAATGATGACAATAATTTCATGGCATCCGCTGAATTCTATTTGCTGATTCTAATGCATAGCTTTCAGAATTATCCTGAAGAACTTGAAAACAGTTTTCAAATCTCTGAAGTAGTAGAGAAGATAAATTCAAATACAAAAGAAGTTTTGAATAGTGCGCACAAGTTCATTTTTGAATTTCTGGATAAAATTGGTGAAAAATCAGAAGAGTTCAAGCTCCAATGGCCAATTAATGGGAGTTACTGGGTTGAATACTCCGAGGAACAGGTCAAGCTCCTAGCTCAAAAAGCGCTCGCAGCGAAGCATTGCCTGGCTGTTACTGGAGATGCTAATGTTTTAATCCAGTCATCGTTGGCAAAAAATAATTCTACTGAATGTCTATTCAAGAAAAGACTTCCGCGACTCCTGGCTGTGAAAATTGCGGATACCCTCGATTTCCATGCTCTGACAATGTCAGCTAGAACTGGAGCTAACGTCCGATTTGTCGAGGACTCGAGGCATGTCATCTTTGTTGAAGCATCTGGAAACGCCATAGCTTTGCAAAGGTTCCAAGATGACTTCTTGAGACTTAAAAGATCTCAGGCTTTGCATGGCTTTATACCATTTAAAGTGGATAGATACTTTATTGAGGGTTCGACGTTGCTCCTGGTTCAACAGGCACCAGCGCATACTAGTCGGGTGTCTTTCAAGCCGAGTTGTGGACCCTACCAAATGTACCATGAAGTCCATGAAAGGAGCCTCCCTATTTTGAGCAGCAACAGGATTCCTCTTCATGAATGGAAGAAAAACGCTATCGAGGCTCTGGCTCAGCACTGTTGTCAACAACTTAAAGCTTTTCCTTACGACAACCCGGAAGCTTTAGAAACCCTAGAAATTGGGCTAGGCTTCGGATGTTTTTACACTGTAAACACAAGCTTTGTGTTGCCTCCCACGCAACAGACATTGGCTCTTGACGAACTGAAAGCGAGCATAGAAAAGGCGAGACGCAACCGCAAGAAAATTGATCGCATAGACTTTAAACGACACTGGCAGCCAAAAAAGGATTGTCTGCCAATTTCTTCAAAAAGTGACCAAAAACGATTCGAAATGACAACATTAGGACCCTCTAATACTCGATTGATGGGTATTGGAAGCGAGATGAAATTCGATGAGAGGGCAGAAAAACGAAAGCAACAAAAGAGGTTGTACAAGAAAGGACTCGCGAACTCATTTGGCACAGGAATGTTTGTGAACAACTTCGCGGATGCAAGAAACGTGCAGCAGGCATTCGAGATATACCAGACGACTCTGAGCAATACTGGGTATACTCCACTGGAAAGGAAGAAGCATTATGCGAAGATTACCATAGTTCCGTCGACATCTTATACGGCTAATATCACTCTTAGCGAGAATCTTGAGGTGTTGGTAGTTGAAGAGAGAATGTTGAATTGGGTGCACGTGACTATCTTAGACGGCAACAATGAGAATCTGAAGCCGGGTCAGCAGTTTATTCGCAACCACGATTTAAGACTGAGAGTACAAAGTACGAAGAGGATCAAAAGAGGCACGGAATTGTTCGATTATCTATTTCCGACCGGAGAACTCATTTCGCCGGTGATTGTTACGAGGAAGGATCCAAATTCAGTGCAAGTGGCCGATCACTTCAAACAGGAGCGAATAGACGAACGAATATCCCATGTGAGAGTGATCGACAAACACTTTTATATGAAGAAAGACATTTCGGCTAATAAAAACAGCGTCGTCAAGACTATAATTGGAGAGGTATCTTGCGGAATAGAACACGGAGGAAATAATTTCGAAATGAAAAGGAAATTTTGTGAATTATACCTTCAATTTGACGTGGATTATTTAAAGGGAATAATGAAAAATGAAAAGAGAAGATTGAATAAAACAGAGATTTATCGTCTCTCAGATATTCTCATTCAGGAATCTTTGCTGGTGTCCCAAACTCTGAGAAATCTCATGAAGTAACTTTTTTAAAATTTTTAATCTATTCCGAAACACTATTTCGACCTTCAACAGAAATAGTTTTTTTGGCACTAAATTTTTTGATGTCTCGGTTTTCGAGGAATTGCGTCAATTTCATACGATGTTCTTTCTAAGTTTGAGTGATGTATAAATTAATTTCCATAAACTTGTATTAGATTCTGACCCTAAATCCTATTTCGATTTGTAGCTAATATATTTACATCACTGATGTGAAAAATAGTTTAATTTAATCTGAAATAACGTTTGACGAAAAAGTTTGGATCCAAGGACCTTATATTTTCAAAATGTTTTTGGCTCAAAACACCAATTTTTCAAAAGCTACGGAACTCGGATTAAACTACTCGAGAAGAAAACAACTCGAAACAAAAGAAAACTCACAGTAAAAGCAACTCGAAATAAAAGACAATTGCCAAACAAGGATAGCCGGCTACTGTGCAAGTAGCACAGAATGTTCCGACCATAGTCTTTGAAAATCTACAAAAAATGTTCCTGCCATAGTCTTTGAAAATCTACAAAAAATAAAAATATATATTTTTAAATTGGTGTAGTTTTTGCTGCGTGCTGTGAGAAAAAACATTTGACATAAAACTATAATTCAGGAACATTCGAATGTCGTAGTTATGTAGGCAAATAGGAGAAAAATGACTAGAAAACGAAAATTTTTGGAAAAATTCGAAATTGTTTTGGGAGAAATTTTTCAAGATTTTGGTTCAGAAAATGGAGCTTCAAAAACTAGTTTTACTTGCTTAAAACTCTGACTTTAGCACCTAACTTAGGCAAAATTAAGCTGCTGTAAGCCTGCTCGCTTGCTTTATTCGCTCGAATTAAGACGAAAAATCAAAAATTTCAAACCGGTTTTCTTGACACTGGGTTTATTTTTTAATGTCGCTCGAATGACGACTGAAAGCGCTTAAATATGCTATATCACTCAACTCTCTCCGATGGTTATTTGTGGCTGCTGGTTTTGTGTGGAAAACAAAAAACTGAAACGCCCTAATACAAAGTACCTCAACAAGGATAGCAGGTTGCTGCACAGGAAGCACAGAATGTTCCGACGAGAAAGTTTTTCTTCAAATTAGTATTATTTTTTGTGTGCGGTGAGATGAGAACTATACGAACCCATATAACGTTAGTGAATTAGAATCGACAAATAGCAAACAACATATTTAAAAAAATTTTCTCGAAAGTTTTTTCTTGTTTTTATCAGAATAATCTTTTTATTTTATTGACTTTTTGCCAAAAAAACGCTAAATAAAGCTACCAAAACTAGCTTTGATATGTTGTTTTATTATGGTAGTTTGAATATGATATGACACTCGACCCATTCCGATAATTTTTAGTACCTGATGTTGCTTGGAAACAAAAAAGAAAAACTAAAACACTCGAATAAAAATTTCCTCTCCATTTTCAATGGTCGAAACAACTCGAGAACTCAGAAAAATGACATGAAGTATCGACCGGTATTGAAAAATTCAAAAACGCATATGATTTTTTTTTCATTTCATAAGGCGCTGAAGAAGTATCGCCCATTGCTATTGCGACTTTGAAAACACCCATCGACATTCATTTGAGTTGTCATTGAGTCTAAAATTGTACGTTTCCCAGAAGCAAGGGTATTGTAACCTGGCACCAGCCTTTTTTCACATAAATATATTTGTTCACAGTTGGTGGTATCTTTACTTTTGTCTAATAATTGACATTTTTTGAGAATTTCCGGATTTTGAATGCTCATTGTATTCGATCTTCGTTTTTTATGTTGGTTGTAAATCTAATACTCCGATTTAGTTTTTATTTCATTTTTTTCTTCAGCTTAAAAGGCTTTGGATGATTTTATATCGGGTGAGTCAGTGACATATTGCGTCCTATGATCAGCAAAAAAAATCTTTCGAAAGGGGACTTAAATACTATTCCTTTGAAAACAATTTTTAATGGCTCAACTAGTGTCTTCTCAAGAATTGTTTGTCGGCGTTGTTACCGCTTTTTAATTTTTGTTTCGAGGCTGATTTACTATTCAATTGTCTTGCTCGGAATGTTTTCATTCAAATAAACTACTCAAGAAAAAATCAACTATTGGTAGATCGAATGATTGCGACATAGTCTGTCGGATAGTTTGTCATCCTATTTTTGTGTTTTATCCCAATTGGCGTAAAGCTCCGCTTGGCCTAACAATTTTGTTGATAAAAACTACATTTGACAAAAAATTTCGGCAACAAGGATAGTCTGTTGCTATTTAATTTGCAGTGTTCCTATCTCAACGATTAAAGCTAAGAAATTTCAAAAACTAACAAAAATTCGTCTCATCTTATCAGCGCGAAATCGAATTAAGCGACAAAACCTGATTTTCGTGAATTATACCTATCGTACCGAATGCAAGCGGAGCGTTTGTTTTTATAGCGTTTTATTTAACATATTGTTTTGCGGCCTGTTAAAAAGTTGGTCTGGTATAAGACATTACTTAGTTTTGAGTAAAAATTTCACGGCGAAGCTTTCATTGACTTTTGTCCATTTTTACAACGTTAAGACTACCTGACAATCAACCGCTCTTGTGGTATCACAAATTTCCGTGCTTAATTTGTTTCCTTTTGTGGTTTTTCATGTGTTTTTTGTCTCGTGAAATTTTGGTCTTAGCTATTTGTAAAATTTTGCGATGAATTCCTTTGGCTCTGTGTAAGCATACAGACCAGTTAGAAGAAAATTTTCGGACAATATATTCTAAGCAAATGGTAAAAAACAAAAGACATCATATTGCTTCCTAGCAATTTTTTTTGGAAAGTTCATTCTTCATTAAAAATATCTGCAAAAGTAATTAGGGTGTAGAAGTGATTTTTGGCCCTTTTGGACACTGTCCACCCTTAAAAGACCAACTGAACAATCTCCCTCTTAATATTTAATGGCAACTTCAAACCATAAGGCCTGCATGTAAACTGCTGAAAATTGATTGGCTGAAAAATATTTAAGCAAGTGAGCAATTTCCCTCCTAAGTTGAAGTAGGGGGTAGGTTGTTCTCTTGGTCCGAAATTTTGGGTTATTTTGTGCGGGGTTCAAATCCACAATTCCTTCTAATTTTCAGGCTAATCAGTCGATTATTTGCATATTTGTCTGCGTAATGGCCTGTCTGCGTACTGGGCTGTCCACATGCAGACTCCCACACAATTACTTAAGTTTATATCGATAGCTTTTTCGTTTAGAAGGAGATATTCGATGAATTTTCCATCCACGAATCGGAAGCCGAAGTGGATTTCTCTCTCAATGTCGAAGTACTAATTGAGTGTCTTAACATCTACTCCAACAACTCTTCTTCTATCTCCAGGTTCACAAGTGCCAATCAATCAGTTACAGGAAATCAATCGCAGCTGGGGGTTGGATTGCATCAAACAACTCTATCGAACTTCATAATCGGCAACAGTGTAGGTGCGGTTGTATGATTTTTTGAGAGTAAGATTGCACGATTTGATCCGATCCATTCCCACTGAAACAATACAGAGTTATTTTTGTCGATAATTATACTTGAGTTTGTTTTTCACATTGGTAGCTATAAAGAGTAAAAGTATACGCCACAGAAGTACTTTGAAGATGGAAATTTTGAAACATGGGGTGATTTGAAAAGAGCCGGGTCAGCTATGTGGTTAGCTGTAACTTCTCTTTTCAGTGATGTACTATCGCAACTGTGGAGATCCTCTAACTTTGATCATAGAAGAAAGTTCGGGACTGTGTGGACCAGGCGCAGTCATCACTGACTGTCACATCCGGACTTTGGACACGGACGATGGACCTCTGGATCTGCACTTTCCCGCTGAGGACGTAGTCAACAAAGTGATCATGAATCCACAGGTGCTGTTTGATCGAGTGAGTGAACTGGATATGAGTAGCGACTTTGTGCAGGTTGAATTGTCACCACTCGATCCATACTTTTCACTTTCCACTAAAGGTTAGATTATTAACAAGTCATCCACAGAAAATCCTACGCAGATCATTAGAAGTTTGGTTTTAAATTATAAAAAAGTGTCTTTACATGAGAATTGAATAAAATTATGCTAATGGGAATTTAGTATAATTATGCTATTAGTTGCAATATCTACAGCTTTGAAGGAAAAAGCAGTGAAGTTTTTTTTTCATTAAAAGAAGTCATTTCCTTTTCAGGTAATTTGGTGAAGGTGACGGATAAAGTTGACCAGGACAGCACTCAAATACTGTCATTCGAAGTGAAGAAATACCAGCGCCTCTCATACAGGACAAACATCTTCAAACTCATCCACAAAACTCTCCAATGCTGTAGCAAAGTGAGCATTCGCACCAATGAAGATGGATTTATTTGTCTGCAGTTCATGGTTAGATTTGACAACTGTCCCAAGATATGTTTCGTTGAATTCTTTTTCGCTCCTGCTGAACAAATTGAAATTGACTTGTAATTTGTTTGAATAATTGTTTTGATTTTTTATTCAATTGAGTTTTATTTTGATATCTATTTTTATGAGCTTATATTTATCCCAGAAATCGAGAAAGAAAAAATGAAATCGCACTCATATATTTTTGAGATGTATCAGATCTGAAAGTTGAAATTCATGTTTATTATTCCAACCACGTCACGAAGCGACTGGAAAGAGCTAAGATATTAGCTGTACTATTTTGCCCGATTTTTGCGCTGGTAGTATTGCCCTGGATTTGAGTTTCCAAAAAAAATGAAAATTTGTATGTTTTCGGCTCTGTCCGAAAAGCGGGTCAGAATTGTTGGTTATTTAAATACAAATTTAGTGAAGATCGCTTAATTAAGCGAAAGTACTTTATTGTGAAGATCGCTTAATTAAGCGAAAGTACTTTATTTCTACGCTAAACTCCATATCTCTCTTTATACATAAATGAGTTATTTAGCAAACTTTATCAAACGATTAGCAAGCGTTATCAAACCGGATTAGAGACTTTTTTCGTGTTAGCAACTTGTTTAACAGAATCACTTGAATCCTTTGTATCTTGGTTCATAATGAGTTCAAATTTCTATGTGTGTCCGGAGGTGAAGAATACGCCTGGGACGGCAAAGGTCGTGGTTTTGAATCCGACCAGGATTTTTTTTTCAAACTTAATGACATTTTTACAGAATTATTCCTTTCAAAAAAATGTCAGCCTTTAGTTGTCTGTTTATGTTTTGTCGGCTTTGTTGCCACATCGTATTGATTTTTTGTATTCCTTTTCCAGTTTAGTTGCATTTAGTGTGTTGAATTACTCCTGAACTTTTTATTTTTACAAGCCTTGACTTCGTATGTTTTGCTGTTTTTTTTTTCATTCAAAAACTTGATTCGGCTTAAATGATAACGGCGTATATTTTATTGGCTTAGTGACCTAAATTGGTGTCCTTTCAAAGGAAGAATAAGTTTCATGCTTCATTCCGAAAAAGTTTTATGCCGTCAATTGTGTTTCTGGACGTGCTTTCAGCACATAGATTTTGATTCCAGGCAATATTTTTGAATTTTTTAAGTTGTGGTTTTTTGAAGTGGTTTTTTTCTCTATTTTTTTTTGGAGTTGGTGGCCTTCTTTTCCTGTCCGCTAGCTTGCAGTGCTATTTTTATGTTGTATCGCAAGTGGTGCAAAGCCCCTATTCACCTCTGCGTTTGAAAAAGCATCTTTATCAGCAGGTTTAAGGGCCGCAGAATTGATCTTTTTAAAAAAACTTAAGAAGCATTGAATTGAATAATTTTTTCATCTAACCGTGCCAACAAAACATTATGCAAGTAACATAAAAAATCAGTTTGTAAACAGACTATAAAAGCTCTGGTGGAAAGAACGGGCGAAGCAAGCAGTGTGATCAGTTGAGGTATTTTCTACAATTAATCGCATAAACAATTAACTTCGAGAGAAAGAAGGGATTAAATTTCTTTCTAATCATGTTATTGTGATTGAAAAATTTAAATACCAAGTTTTTCCTAGATTACGAAACCGACCTTAGAAATGCCTATGAATTTGGCAATGAGCCGTGGGGTGTTCGTTTCCAAAAAATGTCCAGAATATCAAACATGTACAAGCGATGGAAAAGAAATCAATTCACCATGCATTAAAGAATGTGCTGGCGTGGCTTCAGATTTCAGCAATACAGTCATATTTTTCATTAATAATCGAAAACAATGTTTACAAAATCCATATTAGGTATAAAAAGTAATTTTAATCATAATTTCTGATTTTGCAAGCAGAATTTTAATTTGTTATGTTATTTTCAAAATAGTCTAGCCATCTGTTTCTAAGCGACTGGACCTCAAAAAGTTTTTTCGACGAAAGTAAAAGTTTGTACGCTGAATTGTTTTTTTTGTGAAGATTAGTGCATTGTGAGAGAGCAAAAAATAAAGTTTCAGACAGTCGATGACATAGCTTGTGCACGATTAATCTTCCGCTTTAGTAAAACTGGTCTGTGATGCTATCGTATTTTCGTTAGCACACAAACAAGCAATCCATCCTGAATTGATTGTTGTTATAGTACTTAAGTCTGAAGCTAAATATTTCCAGGAGCAAAGTCTCGAATTTTTGATAATGCACCACATCGTCGACTTGATTTAGATTTGACTGAAAATTGCTCTTGAAGAGGACAAGTTTGCTGTACTGTAAGTGTTTGACTGAGGTTTGCTTAAAGGTTTTTATTTAAAGGTTTTTACACTGCCAGCTTGCGAGCGTTAGTGTATTAGTACGAGCCTTCTTCTTTTTTTTCTAATTTAACTTGCAAATAAAAGTGTTCATTATAAGTGTTCACTTATTTGGTGGCACTTTTGCTATAACCACGATCTGAAGCATTGGAAAATTCAAAGCAAAGTGTACTAGGAGAAACTTTCTTTTTTTCCAACCTAAGTTGCAAATGTTGGTGCCACTTTTGGGGCACGCTCACTGCTTTTTGATAGCAGCTTTGACATTTGATTAGAAAAAAGTTAACACAGCTGATGCATTGTTAATTCATCAAATGAACCGAAAAAAAATTATTTGTTGTAAACAGCAGTACAATGATAAAGAGATCGATTTCAGAAAATTTGCAAATCAATGTATCTCACAATTTTTTTGAAATGCATTATTTATACATAATTTGGCTTTATGCTTTCCACCTTATTACATACGAAATTGTGTCTTTTTGTGTTTGGTGCTACTTTTGCTGCATCGAATTGGCAATTTATTAGCATGTGTAGCTGCAGTATTGGTGGCTAGTTTTCTAGGATTTTAAGCATCCGTGGCTGATGCGTGAAACTCAAATTTGCGAGGTCGCAGATTCGAATCCGTCACGTAGCCGAGTTTTTGTTACTTGAAGTCTTTTTTCTACTTTTTTATTTCACTTGACAGAGCTGCTTTTTGGTCGCGTTCTCGCAAGTGTTTGCAAAGCGCATCTTCGACTGTGTAACATCTGTTCTCTGCTGTATTTGTGGCTCGTGTTTGTGATATATTAAGCATCAGTGACTGGGTGGTTGGTGCATGAGACTCATAATCTCTAGATCGCAGCTCGAATTCGAGACCTAGACTTAGAATTTTTGCTTTTTGTCGCTGATAAAGCTGCTTTTTGTCGTGTTCTCGCTAGTATTTGCGAAGCGCAGCTTTGAATCTGTGTAAAATATAAATTTTTTCGGTTTGGAGACAATTGTTTGATATGATAATGAAATTGTGACAAATTTTTCAATTATTGAAATTACAAAAAATTTCTAAAGTTAATTCTTGCTTTTTAAATTGAAAACCAAATTGCAACCAAATAGACGTTGCACCTGAGTAACACAAACAAGTTGCACGCAATGATAAAAAAAAAGTTTTCAACCGAAATTTAAATTAGCGTAAATTTTCAAAAAATGGGAGTCATTCGATATTTAAAGGAAAACTTAATTTCACTTAACCCTACCAAATGTTTCACCAAGTGTGTTTTATTTAGAATGATTTTTTGAGTTTGAGAAAACTTGAATTAGCGAGGGAAACAACGGCATTTTTATATAGGCTTGCTAATCGACGCTCATGCTAACAGGCTGGTCCCAAACTTCTCACCCTTCGTTCGTTCGCGGTGCAATTATATATCAAATCTAAAGGGTAAATTCCGATTTTTTGTCCAGTTTGCCCAAATTTTTGTCAGTTGATAAAGAATTTTATAAAAGCAATTTCTATTGCTTTGCAGTTACTATTAATCTTTGTGTCTTATTTTTGAGACGACTTTTTCAGCCTCTCAGTTTTTGACGTCTGTTTTTGTCCGTTGTGGTGGTTGATTCAGATACAGCCTATGGCCTCTCCGCTGTCCAGACTGAACCAACTGTACTTTGTGTTCCAAGTGGGATCCCGCATTCCACTGGATGACGTCACAATCTGCAAGGCCTGCTGCTTCTTCCACAAGTTCTGTGAGGAGGAGAAGGAAGCAGTGAATCTATATGATCTCTACTCAGTCGCAGCTGCATGTCTCAGTTTAGGTCAATTGCAAATTCTTATATTTTTTCAAAGATTTAAAAGAAATTGTAAATAAATCGTTCATTTATTTCAATCAATGAGTGGATGCATTGAGCGTTTTATCATAAACTTTTTTATGACCATAACTTTTTTGGCATATTAATTGACTCTTTTGAGTATTTGAACGGTATATTTTCATCGGCCTTTGAACAGTGCTCAAATGAAATATGAAAACAAGGATTGCCGATTACTGTGCAAGTAGCACAGAATGTTCCGACCAGTCTTAAAAAATTACAACAAAAGTATTTTTCAAATTAGTGTCGTTTTTTCGGCGTGGTGTGATAAATGAATCTGAGCGAAAAGGTAGAGATTAGGCCTTTTCGTCACTCAATGTAAAAAATGCAAATTGGAACAAAATTTTGGTTTTTGGTTTTTCAAATTTTTTCCACAAATTTTTGAAGTTTTTGATTAAAAAAACTCCAAAAACTAACTTCATTTGAGTAAAATTAAATTTTCAAGGCTCACTCGTTCGATACTAGACGAAAAATGAAAAATATATCAATCGGCCGATTCCGATGATTATTTGTGGTAGCTGATTTTGCCTGGAAAACAAAAAAACTAAAACGCACCCGTTTACAAAGTTCATCCCCATTTTCAATGGTCGGAACAATGAGCAGCCATAAGAGAAAATGTTTGAACCATTTTTTGAAGAAACTCAGTAAGCAATTTGTTTGATTTCTTTCTCAACCCATTGTCTGTTTTTTGCTGTATTTTTAGTTCGATCAGTTTATTTTAAACTGGCGGAGTACTTATAAAAAAGCCTAATTTGAATTTAAAACTATTGATGATGTTCTTTCTAGCGAGCAAAGTGTGTGACGATCCTCCCGCATCCTCATCTTTAAGAGACATAATCAATGTTTCCTATCGTAATCTGCACCCTAACGAACCCCCTCTGCAATTGGAGGAACAGTTCTATGACCTGAGGGACTCCCTGTCCAGTATGGAACTACACCTTCTCAGAGTGCTCCAATTTAATACAGACTTCGCCAACTCACACAAGGTAGTAATTAGGTTTGGCTGTGTGCATTAGGTAGGGTTGGGGTATCTGTGACTTAAATAACAAGCGAGTAGACCACACTAATTAAATTCAAATTTATTTGCAAAATTTTAAATTAAAATCAAAACTAGTTTCTAAACTTTAAATTAAATTCAAAAATAGTTTCAAATATTCTGTTTACGCAGAGAGATAGCGAGCGTTGAGTTATATTACGAATTAACATTTTTCTTACCAAATTCGCTGATAAATATGCGCATTTGATGGTGTTTTTACTGCTTGGTATTGACAATTTATTAGTATCTGCTTTATTCGAGGCTCGGTTTTAACGAATGTCGGGAGACCATGGCGTAGATGCAAGGACGTGTGAATCTTAATGTCTCGGTAGGAATGTCGATTCCAGTACAAAGTAAAAGTTTTTTTTTGCAAGGCTTTTTTTCCCTTAATTTACTTAAATGCCTTTTCTGCGCTACTTTTCGCTTTTTTCTCGCTTGTGCCTGCTAAGTGCAGCTTGGCTTGTGTACTTTTTTGCAAAGGGTGAATGAATTAGGCTTAAAAATGCAAGAATGAGAGGTAAAATAGTTGAATTAATTTTGAAACTATAATTAGAAGTAAACTGCAGGTCAGCCTCGAATCAAAATTTAGGGGGTGACTGTGAACCGAATAGAGGTGTTTTATATTTTACGGCCCAAAATTACCAAAGAGTGAGTTGAGCATCTATGACTTATGAAAATCCACATATCTTTTGCGGGAATTAATTTCAACCAATCCGATTCAAGCAATTATGTAATTTTCGAAATAACAAAAAGATCAGTTTTGGGCCGTGTAACTTATAAAGTTGAATAAATAAACCAGCCGAAGTACAGACCAACCGAAAAATTACATCATATGAATGAATTTGGATAACTTTCGTTAGTGCTACATAATTGTTAGATAACTATTACATAACACTTACATTATCGGATGGTTGATACTTCGGCTGAATTATATACCACCGATATTTTGTGTTTAGTATCTGTGCCACTATCTGCTGTCTGTGAAGAAATGGATGCCGCCTGCATCCGAGTATCACTCAGGCTCACTCCTCCTCCCCACTGCACTCACGATTCACCGCGACATCCACCTGTGTCCCGCTGTGCTAAAATACCCACCTCAGATTATTGGTAAGCTGTAATTACACAAGCGCAGAGTAGTGTTATATTACGAAGTTCACTTTTTAAACCCAAGTCTCAAATAAAAAGGCTCATTTAGTGACAATTTTGCGGTTGTAGCATTATATCTGATTTACTTGATGCATTAACATATCTTTGTAACTGGTTTATTGGTGGCTATGGTTTGTCGGTTGTTAAGCGACCATAGTGCAGATGCAGATGTCTTCACAAAATGGTGTCCTCAAAATGTACTTCACTCGAGACAAATTGAGACAAACAAATTCAAATTTGGAAGATTGTTTTTTTTTCTTCATTTTTTAAAATTAGTTTTGACTCATTTTCTGTCGAGTCAGTTCCCATACAATGGTTTTGGTATGTCCCAATGGTGATAGGCATGGTTGCTATGCAATTGTTACGTAATTCTGATTCAATTTACGTTCTAATGTAATTTCGGCTCCAAGATATGGCAGTTTGTAGATATGGCGGTTTGTTGAACATCCGTCGTCCCAATTTATGCAAAGCTCTGATTTACCTCTGTTTACAAAATAGGTTTGAATATCTATCTGTACAGGCTACTGTTTTTCGTTTGATTTTGAGATTTTATCTGCTCTCCATATGCTGCAGGCTTTTGATTTTGTTTTGGTGGCTGCCATTTTTGTGATCGTTTGTATCTGGTAGAATTTAATTTTATGAAATAACTTTTCCTTGACTTATAGCTCTGCCCCTGACTTACTGATTTATGATTTGTGAACTAAACATAAGAAAAATTGCAGATATAAAAACGTGATTTGTGAGCTAGAAACGTGAACAGATAGATATCTTTTTTTTTACAGGAACATTCATGTTCAAGGTGATATCATTTTCTGAAACGCTTTGTTTTTCTTTGTTGAAGATGACCTTTAAATTTAATTTCTAACTTTTGAAATAGAACCAAGAATCATCTTCAACAATTTCAAAAGTTAGAAATTAAATTTAAAGGTTTTATTCGTAAAAACGACTGCATTTTTTCGATGTTTCATCGCTGAGCTAGTTTTGATTTTCAGTGATTTTGCCATGTCAACTTAAATCAGAAAGCCTTGATCTGAGGAGAGTTGATTAAAAGCTGCAATGAGCTTAAATCGTTTTTGGCTCTTTGTTGTTTGCTTGTTTTGGTGAGTGGCTTTTGTTTTCTAATTGAAATCCAGTTAATCTATTCCTTAAATGAACTGATTAACTGGTCAAACGAGTTAACTGTACCAACTGTTTTTTTTTCTTTCAAGAGTTATTGGTCACCTTGAGGTTAATTCACTCGTAGGAGACATCAAGCGGATCATTTGCGTCATTGGAACATTTGCGTCAGTGTCCCATAAATAGAAAAAAATACACAGTATAGATAAGCATAAAGCTCTCAAAGTATAAAGTTTTTTTTCTACCCAATTGTTCCGACTAGCATAAAAGCGTATCAAATATGAATTGTAGGAAGTCAGAAATTCGGTATCAAAAGTAAAGTTGCGTCTGTCGCATTTTGGCTGCGAATAAATTTCCTTTGGCTAAATGACAAATTACCAAGTTAACATTTAACTATGCACGTAAATCCCAATTCTTAATATCCACAAATTAAAGTGGTACAAGCTATTATAATCAATGTCAAATTAAATATCCCACTGTTTTAATCATAGGGATGAAATTTGATTGTTGGGTTTAACAATCCAGTGAAAAGAACTCAAATACTTAAATCTACTTTTTTTCAACCAAACTTGCAAATAAACCAAACTTGCAAATAAAAGTGCCCATTTGGTGGCACATTTTGCTATAATCACTTTGGTTTTTCGTGGCTTGTGTTAGCAAACTGTCAAGGGCGCAGATGAGAGCACGTACGTGAGGCTCAAATCCGAGGTCGGAGGTTCGAATCTGTCACATAGGTTAAGTTCTAACCCGAAAGCCGACGAAAACGGAAAATTTATGCTTGGTTTGTTTTTTTATTCAATCAATTTTTGGCGATCTACATAATAGTTTTTAACTTAAAAAAAGTTATGCCCCGTTGAAAATATTGACTACTTGAAATCAAATTTGAAAACATTTTTACATCCGATCATTTTTTGCAAAGTTTTGGGAGTTTGAAAATTGCCAATTTCACAAATTTATGCGCAGTTTGAAGATTTTATCGCGAATTATTAATGCGCAATTATTAAGTAACGCGAATTATTTATGCGCAGTGAATTATCCCACACTACAAGATCGTTCCAATATGAATTGAGGCTGGCTAATCGGTCGTATTAATTTCGTACGACTCAAATTTTCACACTTGATCTTTGATATTGTCCAAATCTTGTACTTTTTCCGAAAATCTATATGGATTAAGTGGCAGTCGGAACATTCAGGCCTTTGCCCTGATATACTAGCAGTCTTGTTGAGGGTTTTTTTTCCTGTCGTTTTCTTGCTCGGTTTGCGAAGTGAAGCTTCGCCTGTGTAAAAAAAAATTATTTATTTTTCGAGAAGAAATCCTTCGAACTGCATGGTTTGAAAATAACAATCTTTGGCAAAAGAGTTTGCACCAATTGAAGAATTGCAAATGTCAATCTACAACCGATCGACTTCGCGCGCTGACTAAAACTCCGAGGAAAAAACTTCCCAGAATGTATTATATTCTCAACGGATATTATCACTGAGGCTAAAGTCCACCAATTTCTATCTATTATATTTAAATGATGGCTTCACTTTTTTGCCATCTTTAAGCTTTTTCAACGCATTCTTTTAACATGTTTAACGAAAAAATTAAAAATAAAAATTATATATATTGTAGTTAGCCAAAAAGGTTAATCTGAATAGTTAGCCAAGAAGGTTAATCTGAATCTGAACGTAGTGAGTACTCTTATGTATGTCTTGCTGATTTTTTTTGTTTTTTTTTCGGGAAAAAACCTGAAGTTGGTTCACGCTCAATTTTGTTTTTTCGCAGTTTGACTCGGTGATTTCTTTTCAAATTGAGTGTGTTTCCATTGTTAAAAGAAAGGCAAACTCTACTATCGAACAGAAAGAGTGTGAAGGTCACGAAAAAGTGATCGACTTCCCAATTTCGAAAACGGAAATCAGTTACCAGATTTACCAGCGTAATAAAAGTTTTGTCTATTGATCCAGTTTTCTCAAATTGGTTTAATTTTAACCAAAAGTGTCCATATTAAATTGTTATACAAATTCAAACAGCTTTAAAGCCATCTATTTGTTTTTTTTTCGAAATTCAAAAGTTGAAGGTTTTTGAAAACACAAATCAGTTTTTTTTCAATTTCCTTGCGTTCCTTACATTTTCCAACTGGCAGTTGGCTATGTTATATTTAGCTTGGAAACCATAAATAGAATTGAGATTAAATATACTATACTCTAGATACTAAGTTGTCCTCTTTTTTGCGGGTACAACTGCAGCTGCGAAAACCTAAGTGACTTTAATAATTGTTGATCTTTGAATGGCTTTGATGGTTTTCCAGAAATCTGTGTATGACATATACAAGATCGACTCAAATCGTCGGTTAAATCTTTCGAGAGCGTTGTTGTCTGTTTTGGCAGTTTGTTAATTGCTGGGAAACAGACATTCCGCATGTCTTTGTCTAACCTGGCTTTTTGAAAATTTTCACTTTTAGTCTCCTGTGATAGTATCTTCGAAGTAGTTTTAATGTCGTCTTGATTTGATAGCTCTGGATGATACTTTTGTAAAACCGCCTCAAGCCACTGCTTCCTACTTTTTCTAAAGTGCGAGCAATAGCAGCATTTGAGTTGCTGTTTTCGTAAGGAATTGAAAGCGTTCAATCAAAGCAGCTTAATTGATGACAAATCTCGTTCAGACGAAGGGTAATTGAAGCTTTCATGAAATTGTTATGTGCTTCTTTTAGACTGAGGGTAAGAAGGCAGCTAGTATGTCAGGGCAAAGCCCCGAATGTTCCGACTGTCCCTTAGTTTATATCCAATAGTTTTTGTACAGAAAAGTTTGAAAAACTAAAAGTTTTGGGCAAAATCAAACATGATGTGTGAAAATTTGAGTCGTCCGAAAATAATACGAGCAGAAGAGGGGGGGGGGGGGGGTTAGTCTCAAAAATTTTCAAAAACTTTGTCGACTTTTTTTAGGTCGACCCAATTGATATTCTGAGATTTTCTGCGCCGAAGGCAAATTTTTGAAAAGAAACAGGCGAAAAAAAACAAAAGACGCCAAAAATGGATATCTCACGACACGCAAATCCGCCCCTGATTATAACGCCTGTGATTTTTCGTCCAGTGTGTTATGCTGGTATAAGATATCCGTAGCCATTTCTATCTAAGTTTCTTAAATTTTGTAAGAATTGAAACTTTTTTTTTGTTTTTGTCCCAATTTCTTATCATGATTTAATGTTTCTTGAAATATTTGAGCTTTCATTGCTTTGGTGGCATTTACATGTTTAATCAAGTAGAAGCTGTTTTCGTGCATATTGATAAATTTTGGTCTACGAATTAGTTTCTGTGGATCAAAACTGACACCTACGGACACAGTCACAAATAAGATTAGGTTGTAAATCAAATTTAGATTCCCACGAGGAAAACAAACTGATTGTGTTTTCAATCCAATTCTCTGCCAGAAATAGTCGGAAAACAAGAGGTCCCACGCCACCATTTTTAATCTGTCTTGATTAATGGGTATTTAGCATCATTGATGACATTTTGGAGAAAAGCGCCAACGTTACTAGGTATTTTCTCTTAACTTAATTTCTGCAGCCAGCAGATATCTTTTTATTCCTCTTCCTCTTGAAAAAGGGGAAGTCGTTACTGGGTACAAATTCGCATATATTTAACCGTTGAATGATTTCCCAAATTTCTGGACTATTCTCTACTGGGTCAAATAAGGGTGGTGGTGGTGGTGGGGGAGGGGGGAGCGTTTATATCCATTATTTTAAGCAAACACTGCAAAGTCCGAGCGCGTTGTTTCCGAAGTTCACTAATTAATTTTTCCTCCATATGCAAATGTTATTGATTTTGTGAACTTAAGGATTGCTGAAAGTTTGAGCAGCTCATAAAACGTTTTTGAAAATCCTTTCCTCAGTTTGAAAAAGTTAAAAGCACTTGAAACCAATTTTAAGATTGGAACTTGAAGCCTCACATCTAGACTTTGAGCCTCTGTCGTTCCATTGATGGTGTTAAAAATCTGCGCTAATTTGATCTTGAAATTAGATAAAAAACTATTGAAATTGACCACTTAATAGTTATATCATTCTCAAACAGACCCGCTAGAGCATAAAGAGAGAAGTCGAAACCCTCTTAAAACAGCTCAAGGCATACCTATTCGCTCATTTAAAAAAATTCTCAAGTAGTAGGGTCTGAAGGTTAAGGTATTTTGAAATTTGAACTAGACTCCGAGTCTCGTTGCGTTTTTAATTCTTTAATTCCAGAAACCTTCGACTTGAACTTCGATAAATCTCATTGAACGTTTTTTCATGTTAGAAAGACTTGTCAATGATTTCCGGAAATCAAAAAGCTATTTACTATCAGCAGTATATTTCAGAAACTTTCAGAGCCATTTCAGATAAGGGAAGTGGTCACATTGAATAGATTTTTGGCTGAGAACGTTTCACATAACATAAACAACATTCTTTACTTGAAGTGTCCGAGAAAAATTGCAGCAGTTAGAGAAAATGGCATTTTCATGCCCTTAATAAACTGATAAGTCATCGAACCCAATTTTTTTTTCATAGTACTGCTCTGATATTTGCTCGCGGCCGATGTAAAAAAGTCTGTTCAAGTTCTTGAATTTCAAGAAAGAATTAACTTGAAATGTTTAGAAGTTTCATAGCTTAAATAGCTTGTTTAGATATGCTTAAGTTAATAGCTTGAATAGCTTCATTCATAAAAACTAAATTTTCACGAAACGTTTAGGTCTAAGTATTTCAAATTTTCAGAGCTTCAATAGCGTGCTTAAAACAACTTGCGTACTGATTTTCTCTATCAAACAATTCGAAGTTTTTCAAAGGTTCATTGTTTGATTATTTCGCTTAGAAAAATTTAATTTGGCTCCAATAGGAAAACTTAAACTATTCGCAATCCGATTCCTTTCATGAAATACCTTGAAGTATAGCCAAATTTCACAACTTAAATAGCTGGCTCAGAAAAGTTTTTGTGAACCGATTTTGTCTGAAACTACCTTGCGTATTTCTAGTTTGAGCAGCTTCCTAAACAATTGATGTTTTGCGGAATGACTTGCTCTATGAAAAACTTGAAATGTTTCTGAATTTCATTGCTTGATTAGCTTCAATATGAAAGCGTAAGCGTTTTCTATCCCATTCAATTCGCTTCAAAATTTCTTAAATTGAATATTTAGTTTAGAAAAACTATAATTTTTCTTTTTGCTATCCGATTCCCTTTATATCATACCTTAAATTGTTTCAAAGTTTCATAGCGTAAATAGCTTGCTGAGGAAAACTTAATCGTTTCGTTATCCGATTCGCTTCATGAAATATTTTAAAATGTTTCAAAGTTTCATCCAATGAATAGCGTGCTTGAAAAAGTAACAGAAACTGGTTCGCTTCATGATATGACTTGAAATATTTCAAAGTTTCAATGCTGGCTTAAATTTTTTTCAACTTAGTGCAAACTGACTCGGCCTTGAAATAACTTGAAATATTTGAAGTTTCATCGCTTCAATAGCTTAAATAGAAATAATTAAGTTTTTTGTCATCTGAATCGCTACATGAAATTACTTAAAATGTTTCAAAGTTTTATCCAATGAATAGTTTGCTTGAAAAACTAACAGAAACTGGTTCGCTTCTTGATATGACTTTGAAATATTTCAAAGTTTCATAGCTGGCCTAAAAATTTTTGAACTTTTCGCAAACTGATTCGGCCTTGAAATAACTTGAAATATTTGAAGTTTCATCGCTTAAATAGCTTCAATAAAAATAAAGTTTTTTGTCATCTGAATCACCACATGAAATAACTTAGAGAATATCTCAGAGTTTCTGGATTAGATTGCTTAGAAAAATTTTTAACTTTGCGCCCTCCGATTTGATTCATGAAGTAACTTGAATTGTTTTAAAGGTTCATAGCTTGCGCAGAACAACATTTAACTTTTTGCGAGCTGATTAATCATATGAGATAGGCTTGTTAGCTTTTAAAATATGATGTTCAGAATTTCGAGAAAAATAGTTTTGAATGCACCGGAGTTAAGTCATGGACTGAAAATTATAATACTGTAATTCCAAAGTGTTGAAAATAGTACATGCTTTTTTTTGCTGTGCGACTGGCTTTTTTTCCGGCCATTCCTCTTCAGTTTTTTTCCCAAATCGAAGTACTGGTTTAATTTTTTTCGCTCATGCAGTGGGGGCAATCCTGGAAACCAAAATTGTCACCCTGAAGTTTTATTGTCAACGTTTGAAGTTTTGCGAAGTTCTATTGTCTTTTTTGTGTAACTTTTTAAACTTTCAGGGGGGGGGGGGGGGCAAGGTGTTTTCATTGCTTTTACCGTGCTGAACTGTATTGCTAAATTGACTAGGTCAGATTAATTTTAGGTTTGATGGTCTATCAGAATTAGGTATCCAAGAGCAACATCAAAGTAGGTTTTGAGTAGGGTTGAAGAGTTAATTTGTTATTGGATTTTGAGAAGTGATTAGAAAGATGGCAACAATTTGATGGGCTAGCAGGGTGCTTCATCTTGAAAATAGTTCTCGTTGTCAATGATAATATCAAATGAATTGAAGCGAGACTTTGTGAAAAAGTCTGAGAACGGCCAGCAATTGGCGCTTGTTTTGTTAAGGTTTCTTTCTCCATAATTTGCCCGATGTGTGATTTTTTTTGTTCGAAACAACATTCGAATTTTTCTAGTCAACCAAATTGATTTTCGAAGTTTTTTCCAAAAACTATAATACCCGTTTTCTATTTATAGTAGAATTTTGTGCACCGCGGGCAAATCTATCTATACTATTTTTAAATGCGGGCTTCACTATCTCGCTATGTTTAAGCTTTTTCAACGTATTATTTTTGCATGTTAAAAGAAAGAATTTTTTCACGTTTAAGCTATATCGTACATTGCAATGGTTAAGAATTTTTTTTCGATTTTCCATTTTTATGTCAAGGATTATTTCATTTTTGAATTTAGCAACCCAATGGTGGGATGCTATAAGGATTCCCCAGGAGTTTTTTTTTCAAAAATATCTGTAAAACTTGAATTTGAAAAGTTTCACAAAATTTGAAGTTCTCAACCCTGCAGTTGGGTGCTGTCGAGGAACTCTCTGGGATTGCTAATCTTGCCTCCAAATCACACTTCTCAAATTCTTGTAGTTTTCGAGATTTTTTGATGATTTTTTTACGAGACGTTTGTTATAATTTTTTTTCAAGAACTTCCTTTGTTGGAAACTTTGATGGTATCTTCAGGGGTTGCAAAGCTTACCTCTGATTTTAACTGCTCAAATTTTTGTAGTTTTTCAAATATGACGTTTTTTAGGATGTTTTCAAAGTTTTGCAAAGAACTTAGATATAAAAAATTTCACAAATTTGAAGTTTTGATCTCTATAGTGAGGCTCTGTTATGGTTCTCCCAGGAATTGCGATTTTTTTGCCTTTAAATATGATTGCTTAAATCCTTCTACTTTCGAAATATGACGTTTTTTGTGATTTTTTCAAAAAAATTCCAAGAAAACAAATCCATCTTTTTTCTTCAAAGTTTGTTATGTCCATTTTTGTAGTGGGGGCTGTCAGTGTAATTTCAGAGGTTGCGAATCTTGCCTCCTATTATGACTGCTCAAATTTTTGTGTTTTTGAGATATGACGTGTTTTTGAGATATGACGTTCTTAGAAAAAACACAAAATTTGAAACTACTAGCTTGATGAAGAGACAACCGTTTTGTCAGCTTACACCCAGGTGTCGCCAATCTCGCCTCTAAATATGAATGCTCAAATCTTATTAGTTTTCGAGATATGACGTTTTTTATGATTTTTTCAATTTTTTTTCGGGAAACTTAGCTTTAAAAAACTCACTAAATTTGAAATTCCCAACCTTATAGTAGGGTGCAGCCTTCAGGGAATCTCAGTGGTTGCAAATCTGGCCTCCAAATTTCTCCAGAGGCTCTGTTTTTTTTTTGTAAAATTTGAAATTACCAACCCTGTAATTGGGTGCAGTCAGAGTACACTTAAAGGTTGCAGATTTTGTTTGCAATATATGCAGTTTTTCATGAGTTGTCGAAAAATTTGCGTTTGTCGAAAAACTTGCGTTCTTTTGATGGGAAAAGCGCATTATAAAACTATTCAGGGCGATGGCCGAAAATGGATGTCTTAAATTAGTAGCGCAGTGGATGACACAAGAACTAGCTGAAAGGTAATGGAATGCTTTCCGAGAACTGTACTTAAGTTTGTTTTTTATTAAGAGTCAATTGTGAAGACTCAAAGATAAGGCGCGATGATTTTTTTCAGGAAAAGTCTTGAGGTTTGTTCAGGCTCAAATTTACTTTTTCGAGGTTCGACTTATGATTTCTTTTTAAGTTTAGTTCATTCCCTTTGTTGAAAGGAAGGCAAACTCCACTATCGAACAGCGAAATTGTAAAGGTCACGAAAACGTGATCGACTTGTTTCCAAAATGTACTTAAGTTTTCTGAATTCACAGCGGAAAAAAATGGCCAATCGATCCAGTTTCCCAAAAAAGTGTCAATCGGAAATTGTTCTAGAAAAGAGCTTTAAGGTCACCCATTTTATACTTATAAATTCGTAAGTTGAGATTTTTTCATTTAAAATATGTCAGTATTTTTTTTCTGTTTCCTTGCATTCATTGACTATTTTCTAACTGTCTGTTGTCCATGTTACCTTAATAATTATCTTAATTGTTTATTTCAGCGTTGGCAGCAATCTACCTTGCAATGGCGCTGCTAGACTACGAACTGGTCGGCTTCGAAGCCAGCAGCAAACAAAGTCCTACAGAACATCAAAACTTACATTCAAGTTCTGCCTATATGTCTGGAAAAGCGCCGAAAAAAGATTGGTTCCAAGTATTCTACCCAGATGCTGCGAAACAAACACTAGAAACATTTTGCAACGAGTTTATGCAATTGCTAGTTAAAAAGAATGAAAGCTTGAACAGCAGTTCAAACGATCTTTCATCTGAAACTCTCTAAGCCCTTGAACTAGTCCATTAATTCTAGATGGCTCCAAGAATTAAATTTTCAATTTTACAAAGTGTAAAATCGGGTGTTAAATATAATTTCAAATGGGAAGCGATTGAAGTGCGAACTCGGCGATCATGCAGATGCAAAGGATAGCAGGGTGACGTAACATTGCGTATACTTATCATAACTTTTAGCGTTACGCAATTTTAGAGTTTTCATTTCGGTCGAGCTCTGTTTTCAGAACGGAAATCCGTTCAGATTACTGAAAATCAGCAAATTGGAGAAAATTTGTTCGTTAAAAAACCGAAAATTATACTCAATGGTTTTCTACTGAATGACATGTATACTATATGAAACGTCACCTATAGCAGACACAAAAAATGACTAAAACCTTTCCTGTTGACTCAAAAATTATTTTCGTTTCCGCTATCTTGATCTCTTTAATCTTCAGGCACATTCAACGTTTCAAAGCTATTGCGTTCGTGAATTTTAGAATCTTGAGAAAATTAAGGACGAGCTTCAAAGCGCTGGCTTTAGTCATCATGGATTTAAACGACAGTGATGTTATTGTTCCCAGAAGCCAAAGTACCCCCCGTTCAGGTAGTTGTCACCGATGTACTCTGCGTCTGGCCATGATCGCTTCTCGTCGGCCAATCCCGTGAACTTGTTGCCGAATAGGGAGCTGAGAGAGTCGAAGTCAAATGGCCGCGAAGACGCCCTCTTAGAGATCCCTCCGAAATCGATGTCAAATGGCCGCGAAGACTTCTTAGTGATTCCGCCGAAATCGATGTCAAATGGCCGCGAAGACTTCTTAGTGATACCGCCGAAATCTATGTCAAATGGCCGCGAAGACCTCTTAGAGATCCCGCCGAAATCGATGTCAAATGGCCGCGAAGACCTCTTAGAGAGTTGGCCGAAATTTGAGAAACTACCTATGTCTGCATTTCGTTCGGCTATGCTCTGAAGGTAGGAGTAAGGTGTGGGTTCGTAGGGCAGTTCGGGGAGCCATGACGACCTCTTGTAGTTCATAGCGTTACTACTGAAGCCCATCGGAGTGTATAGGGTTGGTTTGTAAATATAGTGGTAGTAATCGAGGCGCGGCTGACTGTCCATCATTTGTGCCATTGTGTTGTACTTGAAAATGTCCTCTCGACTCAGCGGCATAGATGAGCTGGGGATCAGAAACAAAGCACACAGGCAGATGAAAAGAGGAAGCTGAAACCAAAACAGAAGTTATAATTAGTTTGAGGCAACGTAAAATGCAAAGTGTAATAATAATCGAAAATGGGGTAGCGTGAAATCGAATTTGAGGCTCAATCACCTAACAAAGAAGTTGCAACCTTGTGTTTTGACCAAAGCAAATGAACATGCAAATGAATTGTTAATTTATCTGCAGCTTGAGATAGTACTGAACCAAGTGTTTTTGTTGGTGAAACACGTTCGTTAACAACAGTTCAAAGCTTTTCAGGGAAGCTAAAGAGCATGGCTTTCTAGAAAGTCACCACAAAAAAATTGCAGAAGATTAAGCCTTCAAACAAATTTCTTCAGTTTTTGATCCAGTTAGATCCTTCTAAAAGATAAAGTGTCGAAATTTCAAGGCTGGAATGTTATTTAGGTTTGCGATTAGCAAGCGTTATCAAATCGGAATGACTTTTTCGTGTTAGCAACTAGCCTAACAAAATCTCTGAATCATTTGGCAGCATTCAATTCTGCAGCAAACATGCTCATTGTCTTGAAAATTAAAATTTAACAACTGGTTACAAAAACTATTCGACGGCTTAGGGCCTAGGCTCGAATCCTGTCAGTACCTGTTTTTTTTTAACCCAAAATATTTAGTATTAACAAAATCAGCTTTCTATCAGTTGTCTGCTTATCTTTTGCCGCCTAAGTTTCCACATTTATCTTTCTTGTGCTGCACGCTGATTTTATTGTAAATGAAAGTGTCTCTGAATTTTTAATTACCCTTGCGATAAGCAAGGGTATTGCAATCGGGTAGTACAGTTTTTCCCGTAAGTAACTCTGTTCACAGAATGAGTTAAAATAGAAATGGTAAGAATTAGGTCCAATTCATAATAAATTTCAATTTTTTTTCCGTCTCCGGCACACTTGCTTGCGTTTCCGATTCACAGTCCTGTGTCCTAGATTCGAATCTGACAGGACCTTTTTTCAAATAAGAAATATTCCGCTTCAGAAAAAAGAGTAGTCTGCTTTATAGATGTCTGCTTAAGTTTTGTCGGCATAGTTACAAAATCGTAGAAATGCCTTTTTATACGCAATTTTACCTTGTAGTTTCTCTCAATATGTACACAAGTTGGTATGAGAGCTTTAGTGTATCAGTACAAACCTTCTTTTTTTTTCTAACCTAACTCGCGAATGAAAATGTTCTTTATTTGGTGGCACTTTTACTATAATCGCGATCTTTATCATCGGAAATTTCATAGCATCTGTTCTCTGCTTTAATTGTGGCTGGCATTTGAGATCTCTTAGGGGTCGTTGGCTGATTGCTTACTGCGTGAGACTCGATCTCTAGGTCGCACATCGAATCCGAGACGTAGCCAAACTTTATAGTAATTGGAGGCTTCGTTTTACTTTTTTCATTTCATTTTATAAAGCCTATTTTTGCCGCGTTCTCGCTTTTCTTTGCAAAGCGTAGTTTTGCCTCTGTATTTGATTTACTTCGGTTTTTTGTACTTTCTTGATTTGTTTTTTTTCCACTTAAAACTTTTTTATGCGAAAATGATTCCCACTTGATTTTTATTGACTTCGTGACCCAATATTGAGTCGTTTCACATAGAACGTAGTTTTTATGCTCACCTTTTGATCCCACAAACTACCTAATTTTTATGAGAAAACACAGTTCAAGTTTTTCTTGACAATTACTTTTTTCGGCTTTTTTGTTTTTTTTCCTTTCCTTTTTTCCTCTGTCAATATTCCTCTGGGTTTCCTCTGCCAATTGATGGGTTTCCTCTGTCAATATTCTTTTGGCTTAATTACGTCATGTTGCGTCTTTCGATGAGCATAAAAATTGTGTGTTAGTGTGTTTTTAGGCTGAGAAAAACTTAACAATTTGTCATTAGTCTTAAACTTTTTGAATATTTTCGGCTTTTTCTTAAATATTCTTTTTTATAGCTTAATAGCATTCGGCCTATGTGATATCGGCTTAGTAGCCTGGTCTTGTTTTAATTGACGAGAATATAAAATTTTGTGTTTTGTGTGTTTTTGAGGGCTGACGATAGATCTATTTTATCAAATTTTCAATTTTTTTATTCCGATTTAGCGGCTTTCTTCTTTTGTATCGCAAGTGGTGCGAAGCACAGCTTCGCCGTTATGTATACAATTAATACACAGCTACATACAGGGGCCGAGATAACTAGGTGTTAAAGTAATTTCCTTTGCTCAAAGTAGCAACTGAATCTTGCGAAAAAAAAATGAATCAATATGGCTTGGAGGGCATCATGAGTTCAGTTAAGCTATGACAAAATCTTTTTGAGATTGTGAAACCGTATTGACAAAATCTTGTTTATATTGTGCCCACCAATCTATGAGTTCATTTTTTTCTCCAGATAAGTTTTAACTAGCATATTTTGACGTAATTTTTTATATTATCTTGAATATATTTTTTTCTGAGCTCAATATTAAAAAGGTATTTCATCTTTGATTGTTTTTTCGATAAATTACGTGGGTGTTAAGATTGCCAATTTGGCCAAATCTGCAAAATTAACACGCGAAATATTTCGTGCTTCTTAACGCGTTAGCAGATATTTACTTTTCCTTATGAAGTGTTCAATTGATTTGTGGCATGCTATTTGTTCTATGGAAAATATTGATATTTGAAAAATATTTCACAATGAACTTTACATAGCCTATGGGGATGGTTTTCGAAAAAAACGCTAACTTTTTTTAAATATTTTTTAAAAACGAATACTTTTCCATATAGCTTGAAAGACAGGCCGAACATTTAGGGCTTTGCTTTGATACGAGTAATCTTTTTTCATTATATTATCGGAAAGTGTTTTTGAATGATTTTAAAGAGCTTATAGGTTATGAAGATTAAAAAAGTATAACTAACTTTTACTAGTCCTGCAAACTTGCAAAAAATTGTTGAAAATAAAAAAAGTTTCAACTCGGTGTGCCTGTGCGACTCTGGCTCGCATCAACCAGTGGAGCCTTATATTGAGCCTTATTTATTTGTCTGCTTATATATTGTCGTTTTAACTGTCTCATCTTGGAATTGTTTTTTTTTTGCTGCGCTCATGTTGTTTAAATGTTGCTTTAAAGTTTCATTTACTCATACAATATGTAATTTAACTTATCTTGACTTCGTATTACCTTCGTTTTTTGTTTTGCTAAAAAATTCTTCTGCCCAAATTATTTCTGCCCATTTTTTATCGACTGAATGACATCATTATGTGTTGTATCAAAGTAAACACAATCTTAACACTCCCCTCCGCACTTTAAGTTGGTTGTATATTTACCAATTGGTTTGTTGAAATTTCTCTTTTTTTCATTACGATAAAATATTTCCAAATTTATCGGAAACTTTTCAATTTTTTTCAGAAACTTGAAATGATTTTCAAAAAAAGAGCATCAATTGAAAAGCCGCCTACTCGCATTAGCGCCTGTGAGCGTGCATACTCCTCCAGAGTCATTTTGCTCGAACTAACTGTCTACAGCCTTCGAAAAGTTCTGTGGGGGAATATTTGACCCATATTTTTCTCGAGGAATATTTGACCCATATTCTGGATTTTTTTCGGTTTTTTTTTCGGAAACTACACTTCTAAAGTCTGATTTTTGATTTTATTGAAAAGAACGGTTCCGAAAAGCTCCCGGTATATGCGGCCACGCCCATTTTTTACAGATACATTTATGGCCCTTGGAATAGTCAAGCTTTTGATTTTGACCGTTTTGTGAACCTTTGTCTTTTTTCGAAAAGCATCTTCTCAAATCTGATAATATGGGATCAAGGAAAATAATAGCAGTGGAAAGCTCTCCTGCATTAGCTGCAACCCAGAACTTTTTTACACGAAAAAAGTTATCGCCCTTGCAAAAACCAAATTTTTGATTTTTTGACCATTTTTTAAACTATTTGAATTTTCTCGAAAACTATATCTAACACCATGCCTGTTATATCTCAGATTTTGGGTTCAATTCAAAAAACGAGCCGTGGGAAGCTCATTGGTTTATACGTCTACGCCCAAATTTCTCTGACACCAAAAGTCATGGCCCTCGGAATTTTTTTTTTGATTTTTGAATTTTTTTTAAATTTTATTCATTTTCTTGAAAATTACGCTACCGAATCTGACATTTTGCTTTCAATTAAAATTACAATTTGTTTGAATTCCTTTAGCAGTAGTGGCAAGCCTGATTTTTTATACAAAAAACTATGACTCTCGGAACTCACGGAAGTTTTGATTTGTTGACAATTTTTCTAACTTTTCTCTCTAACTATCCTGCCAAATCTGATATCATAGGTTTCAACGAAATAACAGGTTGTTTAAAACGGCGTTTATAACTAACTATGCCCAGTGTTTGTAAGAAAAAACAGTTCAAAGTTTTGAAACTTCGACAGTTGTTTGGAAACTTTTTGACGTTACGCGAAAACTACCGTGCCAATTCTCACGTTGTGTTCAATCCAGAAACCCTGTTTTGAAAATTTTCTCAGCTTAAGCGAACACAACATGTTTTTGCAGAAAAAACTTATAGATTTTTGAAGACTTTTGACCGTTTCTTAGAACTTTTGACCGTGTTTTAGAATTTTTAGGAATTTTATTAAATTTTAAACAATCAAGTCTGAGATGAAAAGTTCAAATGAAAAAATCGGTTGCGATAATTGTTCCTGCAGAAAAGGGACTCCTGAATTTTTGTTACAGAAATGTTATGTGGAGAAAATTGATTATCTCAAAATTTTTTCGTGTCGAATCAGTATAGCAAATTCATTCAAAATCAAGCACGTACCTCCAGCTGTATCTGGACCCCTACTTTTTTTTATCGAGACATACGTGAATTTTGGTTAACTTAGTTTATTCGACATTAAAATTTTTTTGTCCCAAATTTTTTCATGTTTGTGTTGTATCGCAAGTGATACGAAGCTCCGCTTCGCATCTACGGATAAATTCTGACATCAAATTCGAAAAACACTTGAACTGCAATCAAGAAAAGTCAATTTAGAATAAGTTATACCGCTTTAATATTCGTTCACTTATAATACGCAGCGC